GAAAAAAAAAAACTCAAACCACGAAAACCCCTGAATTTCCCTGTGGACACATTTTCTCTGGCAGCCTTTTTCAATGAGGGCTATGTTTCCTCCAGTACTATATGGCCTGCAGACTGCTCAGCTTTCATTCCAGTGAAAACATTCCAGGACAAACTCTGGGTCAATCCCAGGTCTTTCTCCAATCAACTCAGGGCATGATTGTGTGTCACCTGCTGCCCAGCTAGAGTGACAGGTCTCCACCATGTGACTCCACTGTAGACTCCCTGCCTTCTTCTTTTGCAAAGCCTCAGACACCCAAATGCCTACCAAAAGTGGGTAGGGCGCCAGGACACCTCCAAGCATAAGTGGGGCTCCCCAGCATGCCTGGATGTGGAGGTATGATGCAGACTGGTGGCTGCTCGTGACAATTTCACCCCTTTCTGTGCAGCTGCCAGAGCCCAGGAAGCACACATCAAGGCTCCCTTGCCAGCGGGGTGCTGCCAATAAAATGGAGTCACGTGGGATTTGGAATGTGGAAAGGAGGTAGAAGTCATCATTTCCTCCCTCGTAGCAGCAGATGTGCAGGCTCTGGTAGTCAGCTGGACTCCATACTCCCCCACCAGTCACCAGCCTGGGGACCGTGGGGCTGCAAGGACCTCAGCAGCAGTTAACCGAGTTTCCTGACTTTTTCCACCCTCTGGAAATCAGCTGTGATCAAGTAGCCTGAAAGCCAGTGGTGCAACCTCCTCCTCCCCAACCTTCACCACCTCTAGCCCCTCCAATGATAAGCACTAATTGCCTATATACAACCCTTTTTTGTTTGAAATAGCTAGAATAATTTCTGTTTTCCTATCTGGGGTAGTGTAACATAAGAAGAAATATATATATGGTCTCTGCCCCCAGTTCCTAACACAAAGCTCCTAACACCCTTGGAAATTCCTGAATGATGGGGGTGCTAGGAGCATTGTCTTCTTTTTTTAAAAAAACGTATCATTTTTCTTTTCTCCCAGGGTTTTTTTTCTTTTAAGAAAAAAAAACTTTTAGGTTATGGGGACACGTGCACGTTCGTTATATAGGTAAACTTGTGTCACAGCAGTTTATTGCACAGATTATTTTGTCACCCAGCTACTAAGCCTAGTCCCCAATAGTTTTTTCTGCTCCTCTCCCTCCTCCCACCCTGCACCCTCAGGTACGGCCTAGTGTGTGTTGGTCCCTTCTTTGTATTTGAGTTCTCATCATTTTGCTCCCACTTGTAAGAACATGCAGTATTTGGTTTTCTGTTCCTTAGTTTGCTGAGGATAATGGCCTCCAGCTCCATCCGTGTTCCTGCGAAAGACATGATCTCGCTGTTTTTTATGGTTGCATATCTTTTGTTCTAACATTTGGTCCTTGAACCTGGTTCCTGACACAGAGCTCCTAAATCCCTTGGAATTTTCTGGGTGATGGGAGCGTCCTTTGTTCTCATGAGGTGACTCTTGGTGGGCTCTTTATTTGGGTCTGGTCACCAGAAAGACCTAACTATGGGTGGAAGCTTTGTGCTTTCAGCCCCATTCCCCAGCCTCTGGGGTAGGGAATGGAGCTGGAGCTCAATCACGCCTGCATGACAAAGCCTCCAGAATAATCCTTAAAAGACAGGCCTTGGAGAGCTTCCGGGTTGGCGAACACATCCATGTGCCGGGAGGGTGGTGCACCCCAACTCCACAAGGACCTTTCCAGACCTCACCCTGTGTATCTCTTCATCAGGCTGTTCATTTGTATCCTTTAAAATATCTTTCATAATAAATCAGCAATAGTAAGTAAACTGTTTTCCTGGGTTCTGTGAGCTGTTCTAGCAAATGTTCAAACCTGAGGAGGGAGCTGTTGGGACCTCCAGTTTATAGCCAGCTGGTCAGATGCATAGGTGATGCTTGGCCTTGCACCCGGGGTCTGATGTGGGGGCGGTCCTGTGTGACTGAGCCCTTAACCTGTGCAGTCTGGTGTTCACTCTGCTTAGGGCTTCTCTGCCTTTGTAGTGTCCTGTCTAGAAGGCCTTTCCTTCCTCTTGTCAGCTCAGAAAACTTTTGTTCCACTTCCCTTCTTCTAAGCCATCCCTTACATCTACTCCTTTCCAGCCAACCAAGAGAAGAACCAGGGCTGGCTCCACTGCCACCGTGCCGTCCCACACTGTCTCCTCAGGATGTATTCAGATGTCCGGCCCTCCCCTGAGTCTAGGAGCCCTTTGAGGAAAGGGATGCTGTCCTAGTCAACTCTTTCCCAGCACCAGGCACAGCGTCTGGCACGTTCCATCTTTTTCATGGACTCTCCCCAGGTGGCCTGACCTTCCCTCCTCTGAACCGCTGCATTTCCTGTCTGCATCATGTTTGCTCTAATCAGATATCGCCTTATTTCATCATCTTTTAAAAATGCTTTATTTCTCTGGCAGGTTTATTGGAATCAGAATTTTAATTCATTTAGTAGCTGTTGGCCTTGTGTCTACCTCTCTCTTGCACTCAGGTCTCACTTAAGACCTGGCTGACTGAGCTGTGGTTTGCCATCAGTGAGATGGAGACAGAGGTAGCCCAGGCAGTCATGTTTTGTTCCACGAGACCCTGGGCGCCCCTCCCCCTCCCAGGCTACAGGCAGGGATGGGCACCAGCTTGGGAGAGACAGTTTATCCACAGGCTGGCTCAGCAGAAACTCTGGACTTACACAAAACTGCTCAATTGAGGACAAACTAGGGGCAAGGTAGAATCTTATTTTGGGAATTTTTAGAAATATGGTGGAGTAGCATTTGGGAATAATAAGAATTGTAGCTGGCATGGTGGTACACGCCTGTAGACCCCCAGCTACTCTGGAGGCTGAGGTAGGATCTTTTGAGCCCAAGAGCTTGAGGCTGCAGTGAGCTATGAATGCACCACTACAGTCCAGCCTGGGTGACAGATCAAGACCCTCTCTGAAAAAAAAAAAATACATTTGAGATTCATATTTTTGTTATATAAAAAAATAAGCATCAAAGTGTGAAATTCTGTAAATATGCCAAAATAGGAACCTGGAAGTGCTTGGAATCTAGACTTCGGGAGCCCAGCACTGCAAGGATCTCTAGTCTTGGCTTTTTTTTTTTTTTTTTTTTGAGACGGAGTCTCGCTCTGTCGCCCAGGCTGGAGTGCAGTGGCCGGATCTCAGCTCACTGCAAGCTCCGCCCCCCGGGTTCCCGCGATTCTCCTGCCTCAGCCTCCCGAGTAGCTGGGACCACAGGCGCCGCCACCTCGCCCGGCTAGGTTTTTGTATTTTTTAGTAGAGACGGGGTTTCACCGGGTTAGCCAGGATGGTTTTGATCTCCTGACCTCGTGATCCGCCCGTCTCGGCCTCCCAAAGTGCTGGGATTACAGGCTTGAGCCACCGCGCCCGGCCTTTTTTTTTTTTTTGAGATGGACTCTCGCTCTGTTACCCAGGCTGGTGTGCAGTGGCCCAATCTGAGCTCACTGCAACCTCTGCCTCCCAGATTCAAGCAATTCTCCCTCCCTCAGCTTCCTGAGTAACTGGGATTACAGGCATGCATCACCACCTCCAGCTAATTTTTCTATTTTTTTAGTAGAGACAGGGTTTTTCCATGTTGTCCAGGGTGGTGGTGAACCCCTGACCTCAGGTGGTTCACCTACCTCAGCCTCCCAAAGTGCTGGGATTACAGGCGTAAGCCACTGCACCCGGCCTGTCAGATGATGATTTTTTTTTTTTTTTTTGAGACAGTCTCGCTGTGTTGCCCAGGCTGGAGTGCAGTGGCGTGATCTTGGCTCACTGCAAGCTCTACCTCCCGGGTTCACGCCATTCTCCTGCCTCAGCCTCCTGAGTAGCTGGGACTACAGGCTCCCGCCACCATGCCTGGCTAAGTTTTTTTTGTATTTTTAGTAGAGATGGGGTTTCACCATGTTAGCCAGGATGGTCTCCATCTCCTGACCTTGTGATCTGACCGCCTCGGCCTCACAAGTGTCAGGTGATTTAAAAACTATTCTTCCATGAATTGCTGGGCTAATTGATATGACTGTAAAATGCCTAACCCAGGGTTTAGCATCAAGTAAGCAAATTGTAACTGTTAGCTGCTGCTCTGCCTATGACTATTTAGTCTTGTGCTTTAAACTCAAATATTTGTTGGCCCACTGAAGTCACTACACAGAGAAAGATGCTTTTCATTCTCAGTAAAGAACTTTGGGAGATAACTGGGGCAGGCAGCTAGACAACAGGTGTCTTTTGTCCAGCATCAGCAAACTCATTGGAACTGATGGGTGGCTCACTTTGCTTAGAACCGCGACCAGCACGCACACCGGGCTGCTTCCCAGTCACACTGCTCCTGGGAAGGTGGGGGGTGGCTGTTCTGCAGTTAGCGCCGTTCTTTACCTCCTGTTACCAACTGCCTGAGTTCATCTGTGTTCAGTTAGGTAGATTGCCAATTCCTGTTCATTCAGATTTTCTTCTGCTCACTAATGTGTTTAATGTTCCCTAACCTACCAAATGTGATTAGTGACTTTTTCTTTGAAGGTGGACTGGAGGAATCCTTGCGCCTTCTGCAGCATTCTACTGCCGTTATGGAACAGTGCAGCTATGGATGTGCATCAGCGGGGGATGGGGAGAGGCTGGGGCAGTACATGTGAATGGAGAGGTAGCCCCACCAGTGTGTTTTCTGAAATACAGTCCCGCAGAGGGCAGTCTTGGGAAATTACTGCTCTCACATACTCTTCCTGACCCTACCCCTCCAGCATCTCCCTGCTATCCAAGGGTTGGGATTTTTAAAAAGAAAAACAAATTTTTAAAAAACCAAGTGAACTTTTTGCCATCTTGTAAGCGTGAAAAGCCCCCACCAAGTCTGGATGAACATTCATGCGCGAGCTTGAGGGCTTGGGAAAAAGACGGGGCTTGGCCCCACAGTGCAGGCAGGCCCAGTGATCCCATGAGAGGGGCCAGGAGGTGGGAGGTCGCCTGTGGGCAGGAGGTCAAGTATGTGGTATTTTATGACTGGTGCTTGATGAACCAAGGGAGAGGGCACCGAGAACAAGAGAACAACAGTATTTAATTGTAAAATCTCCACCCCGAGGATATGTTTTCAGGTCTGGGTGACTAATAAGACTGGGAAACAAGGGAGGGAACGACGGCGCTGTGTTTCCTCTGCCCGCTGCCTCTGTGGATGCGTGGACCGCTGGCTTCAGTCCTGCTTTTCTTTCTGATGGCCCTTCTTATTTATGCTACGTATTTTTGAAGGAGGCTTGAGGCGGGCTGGGGTCACTCTTTCTTCTCCTATGACTGGGCTTCACTCTCCTCCCCCATCTCTGTTGGGGCTTCGCTGTCCCTGGGGTAAGAATAACAATGCCAAGGTTTTGATTCTTGAAAGGAGCAATTAAGCTTAGCTTCTCACCCCCTCCTCATTTTAGTTGGGAACTGTGAGGGCCCGTCATTTACCCAGGTTCCCTGCTGAGGATCTCCTCCTCATTAGATGACTTCTTGTGCAGCTTCTCTGCCTGGTTATTTACTCTTGCGGCACTGAGAGGTTTGTACATATCTTTAAGCCACAGCGGCTGTCTGAATGAGAAAGCTCCATCCTAGAAGATAGAAAGGGAAGTATTAATTTTGCATGTCCTCTGCTTTCCCTGGCCACAGCAATGAATCCTCCAAAGTACCTGGGTCTCACTTGGCGAACAGCATCTCCTACATGGCAGAAATCTGAAAATGCCCCTGGGGAGACACATGCACAAGATAGTGAGTGATGCTGCCATTTCCCACGTCTCTCACAATGTACTTCTCTGGTCTTATTAGGACTAAATGAGTACCTCAGTCCATAATCACAGTGAGAAGAACCACCACAGACCACATACCTGGGGTCCTGAAAATAATCCTATGCATGTGGGACTTTCAGAAACTTTCCATGTCTGTTCAGAAGGGCCCCACAATATACTGGGGGGACTTTGTATGTGGCTCAGCATGGAGCATGGGCAGGATGTTCAGTCCCAGTCACCCCCTTGGCCAAGTGCCCTTGTGCAGTGAATAAACTGCACAGCCATGCTGGGCAGAAGCATTTTATATCAGTCCCCTTCAGACTTAGTCTCACAGGCATCATTTGATGGGGGGTGGGAGATGAAGTGGTTCTTTTCTTTCTAGATACTTTATTCTATAAGTTGAATCCCCTCAAGCAAATGCCTGAGTGCAGGTAGCCAAGTTATCTATCTCACAGTCTTCATATGGCTGGCTGTCGCTGGTGAGTGAGGGAGCTGTGAAATCAGTTTAAAGAACAACATATTCTTTTTGAATTTGAATAAAATAGAAAAAGCCAGAGTGCATTGTGTGACCATGGGGCAACTCTCCCTTTCTCTTTCTCAGTTTTCCTGTCATAAAATGACGAAATACTGTCTAAGGTCTCTCGTAGTTAAAATTCTTTGGTTTGTTGTTTTTTTATTTGAGACAGTTTTGCTCTTGTTCCCCAGGCTGGGTGCAATGGTGTGATCTTGGCTCACTGCAACCTCTACCACCTGGGTTCAAGCAATTCTCCTGCCTCAGCCTCCTGAGTAGCTGGGATTACAGGTCTGTGCCACCACACCTAGCTAATTTTGTATTTTCAGTGGAGATTAGTAGAGATGGGGTTTCACCATGTTGATCAGGCTGGTCTCGAACTCCTAACCTCAAGTGATCCACCTTGGCCTCCCAAAGTGCTGGGATTACAGGTGTGAGCCATCCTGCCTGGCCTTTCTAGTTAAAATTCTGTGAGGTTTGCATAAAAAGAATAGAGTGGGGCCCAAAAACCAGTAAGATGAGAAAATAGTGTTTCCTCACTTCTAGGATCCAGGAAAAAAAAAAAAGAAATAAATAAAAAAGAGAAAGTAGTGTTTCCTGCCACTTTCAAGGAAAGACTCACATATTCTACCTTCCATCAGCTTTGAAGGAGACGAGTGCCCTCACTCCCACACCCGGTGGCCTTCCTTACCCCTTCCCCAGAGCCTCCAAGAAGACCCTGGCCTGGCCTGATGCCCACCATCAGCAGGAACAGGCACCAAAACCTTTCCCCTTCCTGTCCCTCCCCACCTCCCCAAAGGGCTGGGGACAACAGATGTGTCCTTGTTAGTTCCATCCAGCTCAGCTTTTGGCTGGGGAGCTAATTTCACTGGAGCCAGGCTAAGCATTAGGGTAACTAAGTATTTGTCCTGTCTTGGGCAGTTTCCTCACTGAAAAATGAGGGCAGAGTTCTAAGCTCTCCTCTAATTCTAAAATTCTAATTAAAATATCACAAGACTAGTGACGGCGCATGCCTGTAATCCCAGCTACTCAGGAGGCTGAGGCAGGAGAATCGCTTGAACCTGGGAAGTGGAGGTTGTGGTGATCTGAGATCGCGCCACTGCACTCCAGCCTGGCAACAAGAGGGAAACTCCGTCTCAAAAGAAAAAAAAAAAAATTACCAGACTAATATTTACCTTGAGACTCCTCCTTCATCTTCTTGTGATGACCTTCGGTGAGAATAAATCTGTTTTGGAAGAAAATGCAATTAAGATTATCCATCACAACAACCATCTCCAAATCTGTATTCATTCCTTTTATTCATTATAAGTCTCATCTACCTGATGAGATAACTTGTTTGAAGACAGGAATTGTATGCTGTTTAACGGAGCTTTGATTCTCCCACAGTTCAGTCATCCTTGCTATCTTGCGGGGGACTGGTTCTAGGATACCGCCCCCACACCATACCAGAATCTGTGGATGCTCAATCCCTTACATATAATGGTGCAGTATTTGCATATAACCAACACACATCCCCCCATATTTACTTAGCGACAGGATTGCCCTCTGTTGCTCAGGCTGGAGTGCAGTGTCACAATCACAGCTCGCTGCAGCCTCAACCTCCCCGGCTCCAGTGATCCGCACACCTCAGCCTCTTGAGTGGCTGGGACTACAGATGTATATCACCAAACCTATTTTTTTTTTTTTTTTTTTTAGTAAAGACAAAGTCTCACTATGCTGCCCAGGTTGGCCTCCCAATGTGCTGGGATTATAAGTGTGATCCACCATGCCTTGCCCCACGTACTTTAAGTCATCACTAATAAAATGTGTAGATATTGGACAGCGGTGACAGCTGTTATATTGTAGTTTCTATTTGCATTTTTTTTTTTCCTTTAGATATTCAGCCTCATCTAGTTGAATCTGAAGATGTAGACATGCTGATGAAGAGGCTGACTGTATCTAACTTAGGGTCTTGCAGGCAGCTAGCACTTAATACATTTTATTGACTGTTTTAGATAACATTCAACAGATAATTCCTAATAAAAACTCTTAAAAGTAGGAGAAAAAGAAAACTTCAGTCCTTCCTCTGAAGTGGCAGGAAAACCAGCCTGGGCAACATAGCAAGACCTTCTCTCTACAAACAAATTGTTTAAATTAGCTGCCTGCCTGTAGTCCTAGCCACTCAGGAAGCTGAGGCAGGAGGATCCCTTAAGCCCAGGAGATTGAGGTTACAGTGAGATAGAGTACACCATTGCTGTCCAGCCAGGGTGACAACAAGGCCCTAAGAAGGGAAAAAAAAAAAAAAAAAAAAGGAAAAGAAAGGAAAAAGGAAAGGGGAAAGGAAGGGAAGAGTAGAAGTATTGGAAAGGAACAGACAAAACTATCATTATTTGCATATTAGATGATAAATGTTAGCTAAAGAAGCCTAAGAGAATCAACTAAGATTTTACTGGAAGTAATAAGAATTCAATAGGAAAGATCCCATTTACAATGGCAATACAAATGTATGAAGTATTTAGAAACAAAAATGCAAAGATCTTTCATCTAACAAAAGATGTATAAGATCTATATATGGAAACACTAAAGCTCTTCTGAAAGACATTAACAAGAAATGAATACAGGACGTGAGATAGCACGTTCCTAGAATGTCGTACAGATGTCAATTCTCAAATTAATCTACAAATTTAATGTAATCCTATTCAAATCCCAAGAGAGTTTTTAGTGGCAGCTGTTTGTGAGACAGGGTCTCGCTGTTGCCCAGGCTAGAGTGCAGTGGTATGATCACAGTTCACTGCATCCTCAACCTCCCAGGCTCAAGCAATCCTCCCACTTCAGCCTCTGAAGTCTCTCATATGGTGTCCAAGAAATGGTGACAAATCTCACAAAGGGACTAGGCTCAGGAGGGCTGGAATATTCAGGGAAGGTGTCAAGAAGAAAGATGAACCTGAGTTGGCTTTTGAGAGATTCATAGGATTCCCACAGGCAGAGTGAAATAAGGGCATTTTAGATGGACAAATGCACAAAAGCAGAAATGCGGATGGTGTGACGGGGGTATGGTGAGGGGCTGCTCTGGCTGGAATGGAGGGGCTGCCACAATAATGGAAATGGTAAATGAGGCAAGTAAGGTTGGATTGGTAGCATAGTGTCAAGGTTACCAGTTTATTATATCACTCTTCCAATATGCTAGCACTGGCCTCTTGGGAAAAGTAATATATCATGTAATCGAACAAAAGGCAAACAGAGGCAAGCCCCAGGAATGGGCACTGTGAACAGGACTCGCCCCAGAGTAGCCAGATATAGGCTTTAGATACGTTGATGCAGGTTGAGCATCTCTGATCCGAGGGGGAATATCTCACATGGTCTCCAAGAAATGGTGACACATCTCACAGAGGGCCTAGGCTCAGGAGGCCTGGAGTATGAGACATTCCCCCTCCCCTGTGAACTTAAAAATGTGGCCATCAACTTTTTTAAAAGATGGCTACTCTGTAGTGCTTTAAGTGGACCTATTTAGACTCCAGCCTGGGCAACTGAGCGAGACTCCGTCTCAAAAAAAAAAAAAAAAAGACCAAAGCGTACCTCAGCCTTAACTGACTGAAGAAGAATGTCAAGTAGCAGCAGGTGGGAAAGCGGGTTTGGTTTTGAGTTTGTGGGCTCTGAATCCACACAAAGACAAGACTGCATTCTGAAAACCTGAATTAATTGTTGTCCTTACCTGAATGAGGCAGAAAATTATAATCAAAGTCGTTAGTATTTCGGTCACAAATAATGCCAAGATGAGTTTGTTGTTATAGCCATATCCTGGAACTTCTTTTGTGAGCTAAAAAAAAAAAAAAAAAGAAAGAACAATTAAAAAACAAAAAACAAAAAAAACCAGAATGAGAGCTAACTATTCAAAACCCCAGTATTCCAGGTGAGTAGCTTACAGTTTCTTTTTTTATTTTTTTGAGACAGAGTCTCACTCTGTCACCTAGTCTGGAGTACAGTGGTGCGAACACAGTTCACTAGATTCGACCTCCCTGAGCCCAGGTGATCCTCCCACCTCAACCTCCCGAGTAGCTGGGACTACAGGCATGTGCCATCACCCCCGCTAATTTTTTTTATTTTTGTGGAGACAGGGTTTCACTGTGTTGGCCAAGCTGGTCTCAAACTCCTGACCTCAAGTGATCCACCCACCCTGGCCTCCCAAAGTGCTGGGATTACAGGCGTGAGCCACCCCACCTCACCTACAGTTCACCTTGTGCACTGATCTATTTCACTCTCTAAATGAGCAAAGTGGGAGATCACCATCATGGCCAAAGTTATATGACCAGGACAAGCTATGGCCTGGGAGTCCCAGGTTCTCCTGTGTGGGCACTTTCCTGGCATACACTAAATGCTGGGAAATCTGGGTCTTATGTTTCTGTGTGGTCCTCACCTCACTCAACCTCTGCTCTTTCTGTTCACTCTGCGCTTCCGTGCTCTCATTAATATAGTTCTCAGTTTTCCACTGTTCCGTATCCCATTCTGCCTTGGATGCCTTTACATCCTGCTGCTCACTGAGAAGCTTCATCAGGAGGCCTGTCCTGGAGATGAGCTTGGCACAGGTCACTTGCACATGGGTGTCAGAGCAGTCCATTTTCAAGGTCCGGATAACATGAGAAATGAGCTTTCTCACATTGTTGTTGGGGATGAGGGACCGTAGCTGCTCGGTTAGCTGATTTTCAAACTGATCACCTGCAGACGAGAGCAACGGGTAATTGAAGCTTTTGGGCTCGGGGGACAGGTCAGTGCCCACGTTGTTGTATTCCCATCGTGTCTGATTAGTTCGTTTAACAGCTGGCCCTAAGTTGAACGCAGTCCCAGCGGAATCTGCCTCAGGAGGAGGATTGTAGGTTGTGTTTTTAGAGATGGTGCCTTCTGGCATAGTAGTGTTTTCCATAATAACGTTTTCTTCAAAGGCATTTCTTGCAGCTGTGTCTTTTACATTAGTGTTTTCTGTAAAACGTTCTGAAGGAGCAAATCCTTCCAGAAAAGGATTTTCCTGAGGACTCGGGTCTCCTAATAATGAAAAAGCCCCGTGTGAAGGGGAATATATGAGGCTGTTCACTGCAGAGAATGGCGGCCTGTTTGCGAGCATCAGTCTATCGAGATAACTTTTCTTTCTGAACTTTTGACTCTTTTTGGCCTTGAGTGTTCTGTGGGCCACGCGGGAGCGAGTTTTATGATAGCGGTATTTTTTTCGGGAATGTACGATTGGTTTGGCAGCCTTCATACTTTTAACTCTAGCCTTTGCGTTTTCTAAAATGAAAATGGCGTGGGTTAAGTCTTTTGATCTGTCTCTGACCTCAGGTAGGGCTTTTGCAGGGGTGGAGGCAGAAGGCTCACCCATGGAGAAGGGTTTCAGCACAGAAGACACTGCTGTGTTAAGCTCTTGGGTGAACGAAGGCTTGGTGTAGACGGTGTTTCCCGCTAACTTCTCACGGCCCTGCTCTGTGTGAGGCTGTCCCAGCTCCCTTGAGACCGGGCTCCCGAGCCTTTTTTCTTGGGCAGCGCTCTCCACAAATGCCTGCGCACCCTCTTCCCTCCTGGTGCTCTGCTTTCCCACCTCTTTGAAGTGCCTTTTCTGGATGCTCCTTGGGCCCGTGAGGACTCTGTTCACTCTCTGCAGGTTGTTGCCTACACTTTGAATCTTTGCCAGGCTGTTTTCCTGTGGTTGGACAGTTTCTAATTCCTTTTCAAATATTTGGCGTTTAAATTTGTTACCTAGAAGGCTGGTCTGCATAAGCATGGCAGTTTTTTCTTCCCTTTTAACTTCATCAATTTTTTCCTGTATTTCTGCATCTAACATATTTTCCAGCAAGTACAGCTTTCTCAATTTATTTTCATAAATTTCATAAGTTGAGTTGTCGGATGCAGGTTGAAGAGAGGGGCTCTTTATATTGTTTTTCAAAATATCCAGGGGCCTATCTCCATCTTGCACATTTGAAGAAAGCTGTTTAATGAACGGTAACAATATTGATTTCACATCTAGATTTACCACTGAGAAATAAGGCAAGATGTAACTTAGTGCACTGATAACTTCATTCTCGTCATTGGTGTCTAGCTGCTCACTCCCAAAGCCTGACAAGTTGATGCCACTGCTGTCTGAGGGCACCTCCGGCTCAATAGTCAGCTCAGTGCTCGTGTGCTTCTTCCGGGCCTGTAACACCTTCATGAACGCTCCTTCTGGATTCCCTACGGATGCTTCTTCAGCTGTGAAAAAAGAAGAGACTGCTTTGATCCTGAAAGATGATGGGACGGCATGCATCAGTCCATAGCTGTACATCCCAGTCACACAGAGTAGGAGTCAACAAACATTCAAGTGCCATTAAGAGAGGAGAAACACACACCCAATCCTAAACCTACGAAATGGCAACAACAAAAGGAGAAAAGACATCTTTTGAAAACATGGCCACCTACTTGGAACATTCCATAGTGTGACATAGAGTAAGTCTGCTTAGGATTATTCCATTGATCCACAAAGGCCAGTTAAAAATGCTAAGTCTAAGCCCAAGGTGGAAGGCGAGTGCTTCCCTGATGAGCTGGCTTCTCTGCAGACTGCTCCATACCCTGTGCTGTCCTGCCTCACATGCAGAGAGAGTACAAGGCTCCCTCTCTCCTCGTGCTCGGTGTACCCGTGTTCTTGCTACCATCACAGCTGAATGCAGTGAAAGGCGGTCCTCTGAGAGGAGCAGGGTGGAGATGCTAACGTGGAGAGCCCCTCCCAGTGCTGATAGATCCTCATCTGGCACGTGCTCCACCCACCCACCCCATTCTCTGCTCCCACATACTGTAGCCCCATCACAGAAAATGTGACATGGGAAAAAACACTTGTGTCCACCCTAGTTCTTAAATTTGGGCAGGGATTCAGGGGGTAGGTTAAGAGATTTTTAATTTGCCAGATTATATGCCTATGTTGTTGAATATACAATGAATCTATGGTATGACAGCAGTTTCTGGATAAACATTACTTGAGGTCCCAAAATGCAGAAGGGAAAAAGCAACTTTTGTCAGATGCCTACTTTGCTTTCATTTCATCTCTAATATTCTGGATTGGGAACCATCCAAAGCTTCTGACTGCATGAAGGTCAAGTGTGCCAGTGTGCAGCTGGCTTGCTTTTCCAGAATTAAAAGTATTTTGGGTGGTGACGGTCAGAGGAAGACGATTGTGAGAAAGGAGAAACATGGGCTTGAGGAGAACCCAGAATTGGGGACAGAAGACCTGGCACTAGGCTACGGCACTTAGCACCTCTTATCTTGTTTTTCCTCATCTGTAAAAGGAGATTACCAATGCTTTTCTGCCCACCTCTTCAGGAGAAGGGAATAATTGGTCTAAAAAACAAAAGTTTTTAAAAATAAGCACCACTGACTTTGTGTAGCCAAGCATTATTAATTATCCACCCCGTATCACTGGTAGATACCTGTATTCAACCTATCTGGACATGAAAGCAGTCACATTTTAGAAGTCATGAATTTGGTGCTAATAAACCTAATCTACAGAAAAACTCCTGAAAGCACTTGAGCATTTGTTCTGTGAAGAGAAAGGTTTGAATTCAGAGCAAGTTCAGCATTGGATGGTCTAAGCATGGAAAAGCCCTCCATTTCATTAGAAGAGCCAGGCAGCAATTTCTGGTTATGGAACCAGAAGCTCTCAGGCTTCAAATAAAACAGCATCACTTGTACTCTTATAAAACTATAAAAACAAAAAACCAAAACCGGATCTACATCTGTCCTACAAGGCCGAGAGTACTCGAGACCTCATGGATATAAAACCAGCTTACAGGGCCGGGCGCGGTGGCTCAAGCCTGTAATACCAGCACTTTGGGAGGCCAAGACGGGCAGATCACGAGGTTGGGAGATCGAGACCATCCTGGCTAACCGGGTGAAACCCCGTTTCTACTAAAGGACACAAAAAACTAGCCGGGCGTGGTGGCGGGCGCCTGTAGTCCCAGCTACTCGGGAGGCTGAGGCAGGAGAATGGCGTGGACCTGGGAGGCGGAGCTTGCAGCGAGCTGAGATCTGGCCACTGCACTCTAGCCTGGGCGACAAAGCGAGACTCCGTCTCAAAAAAAAAAACCAGCTTACAAACTACATTGCACTGTATGAAGAAATCATCACTGGGGGCAAAGCACGAAGCAGATAGCACAGTATACAGTGTGTGGATGTCAATGTTACTCCCTAGCCTTCCCATTCCTTTGTTTTGGTCCTTTGTGCATATGGAACAGTTCTGTTATTGAATTTTGTAATAATAACTGAGAACCTGACTCTCAGCAAGGGAATAGTTCAGAAATTCAGGGAGTTTAAGTCTGAATGAGTAAATAAAAATAAAGTAATTATATCATTAGCTTAAAATTTTATCATTATAAATAAAAAGTTTAAAAACAAATACTTAAAATAATGTAACAATTGATCACCAGGCAATTTGGACTCACGACAATGTATGGTGTTTGTCAGACATGCACTGTTGCAATGCAGCTTGACTGTCTTGCAGACAGCCTCAATGCTGTTTTTAAATTGGCAGAGGCAGCAGGCCATACGGCTAGGTAAGATCCTATAGATGAAAACAAAGATCAATAAATTAGTGGTAAAGCAGTTACTTGAGTAGGTAAAGGAGGCAGGCCAATGCTTTCACAGGGGTGGGCCAAAAGGTGTTACTGAAGCTTATGGATGGACAGTTGGGTAGGAACCAGAAGGCCAATAGGAAGGAGGGCAAAGGTGCCCAACCAAAGGGTAAGCATTGCAGTGAGTATGGTATACCTAGAATAAAGGTGGTTAGGATTAGAATTGGGTGACACTGATCAGTAGTTTAATTCAGAAGTATCTCTTCCCAACTCAAAAGTCTCACTTTGGGCTGAAACTACACAGGAAGAAGGTAGACTTCTAAGAAGAGTCTGAATAAGTCCCCAACTTCTGGAGTCCCTGTCTCAATTCCTGTTGGGAGTTAAGTTACAACATAGTTAATATAAAAAAGAATCCATGAAGAGTGATATTCAAAAAGAAAGATGGGGAGATTTTCTTTAACAAAATAGTGCCAGCTAGTAAATGTAGAAGGAATGACAGAATTTTAAAAAGTGTCACTTTGCAACCACCAATGTAATAAAAATTCGTTCAGACAAGGATTATCATTGATGCACATTTGGGTGAAAAGACATTTGAGAACAGGATCTTCACTGAACTCAAAGTACCAACCCACAGATTATTTATTACCAAGGGGAAAATTAGTATTTTTTATGAGACAAGGTCTCACTCTGTCACCCAGGCTGAAATACAGTGGCAAAATTATAGCTCATTGAAACCTCACCCCCACTGGGTTCAAGTGATCCTCCAAATTCAGCCCCCTGAGCAGTTGGGAGTATAAGCTTACACCAGCATGACCCACTAATTTTTTTATTTTTTTATTTTTTTGTATTTTTAGTAGTGACAGGGTTTCACCATGTTGCTCAGGCTGGTGTAGAACTCCTGGACTCAAGCAATCCTCCCATCTCGGCCTTCCAAAGTGCTGGGATTACAAGTGTGAGCCACTGCACCCAGCAAAATAATTACAATGGAGAGATCTGGAAGATCACCTTAATCAAGTGATCAAACGTAGTATTACAGGCCACCTGCGGTTACGAGGCAGGAAGGATACATCACCTATGCAGTATTTTTCCAAAAAACCTGAACTTGAATCTCATCATGAGGAAACCGACAAATATACATTGTGGGACAATTTACAAGACAACTATCTTTGACTCTTAAAAAATGCCAATGTCATGAAAGATCAAAGAAAGTAGAGGAATGTTTTGGATTAAAGGAAACGAAGACATGACATGCAGTGCCTGACCTTCGATTAGATTCTGTACTATTCTTTCATCTTTCTGGCATGTTTGAATTTTTATTCAAAATGTAAATTTGGGAAGAAGAGATAACCAAGACAATTGATTAGTTTGTTATGGCTTATTGGGGGCAGTTTCAGAGAGATAAAAACAATCCCTGTAACTGGAGTAAAAGGTTAATCTTAGGGAGTATAGCATGGTCATTAAGGATACAGATTCCACAGCCAGACTAGGCTTAAATTCCAGCTCTGCTAATAATGTGAATTTGGGCAAATTGCTTAATCTCTGTTTCTCAGCCTTGTCATTATAACAGTACCTACCTCTAATGAATTTTGAGGATTAAATAAATCAATACCTGAAAAATGCCTGGCACACAGTGAGTGCTCAATAGCAGTTAACTATTATTATTATTATTATTATTTTTTTTTTTTTGAGACGGAGTCTCGCTGTGTCTCCCAGACTGGAGTGCAGTGGCGCAATCTCGGCTCACTGCAAGCTCCACCTCCCAGGTTCACGCCATTCTCCTGCCTCAGCCTCCTGAGTAGCTGGGACTACAGGCGCCCGCCACCATGCCTGGCTAATTTTTTTTTTGTATTTTTAGTAGAGACGGGGTTTCCCCGTGTTAGCCAGGATGGTCTCGATCTCCTGACATCGTGATCCACCCGCCTTAGCCTCCCAAAGTGCTGGGATTACAGGCATGAGCCACCATGCCTGGCCAACTACTATAATTATTATGTTGCAGAGGTTGTGGGGGGCCTTTTCTGAGTCCTCCAAAAGGATGGCTTTATTAGGGCCACATTAAGACTGTGGAGACAGAAGAGTGTTTCATGGATACCTGAAGTCTGTGAGTTGGGGGTACAATGTATAGAGTTTTAGATTAAAACTGAATCCAATAAGTTGGCCTGACACATATTTCACACCTACAGAGGAATAATCACAAGGGACTGGTATTATTCCTTTGGGTCCAGTGGAAGCCTCTGATCTTCATGTGGAATGGACCCAGAACCGTACCCCAGCATTTTATTATACAGCAACCTTAACTCTGACACAAAGGTGTTTCTTTTGTTTGTTTTGAGGCCACGTCTCGCTCTGTTACACAGGCTGAGTGCAGCGGTGCAATCTCGGCTCACTGCAGCCCCTGCCTCCTGTGCCCAAGTGATCCTCCCACCTCAACCTCCTGAGTAGCTAGAACTACAGGTGTGTGCCACCATGCCTGGCTCATTTTTGTATATTTTATACAGATGGGGTTTCACCATGTAGTCCAGGCTGGTCTGGAACTCCTGAGCTCAAGCAACCCTCTCTCTTTGGCCTCCAAAGTGCTGGGATTACAGGCACAAGCCCAGAGGTTTTGTATTATTTTCCTGCCCCCAGCTTTTTATTTTAAACATTTTGTTTTTTTCCTTTAAGCCTAAGGATGGCTGGAAACCATTTTTGAATGGTATAATGAACACCTGTAAAACTTTTATCTAGAATCAACAGTTGCTAATACTTTACCACCACATTTGCTTTCCACATGTTCTGGACAAGCCATGTGAGAGTCAGTTGCAGACATAATGACCCTTCACCATTAAACACTTCAGTGTGCAGCCCCTAAGAACCAAGGCATTCTCCTACATAACCAGAATACTATCATCACCCAATGGAACTTAATATTATCACTGTCTACTATGTAGCCCATATACACATTTTCACAATGTCCCAGTCATAACATGGCTTAAACAAATTCGGAATCCAGTCAAACATCAGACATTGCACTTAGTGTTTATGATTCTTTAGTCTCCTTCAATCTAGAACTGTTCCCAGGAATGTTTTAAAGTATACTGACAAAACTTTGAGACTGTAAATGACCTGAGGTGTATGTTATCCTTACTTGAGAATAATTTTTCAATATGCATTAAAGATCATTACACATGAGCCAAGACTCAAATGCGCTGGCCTACTTACTTTGTATATCAATGTGTAAACTGAAGACTTCCAATAACGTACTCCCATAAGGCAGTTAGTTCAATGTCTTTATGGCCTTGGTGACAAATGGTTACAGAGAATGAGAGCTTTTTCCTATCCACTAATGGTCAAGAAAAAAGCAGACAGATCCTCACTGTCTTAGAGAACCAAGTGAGAAAGCTGGTCGATGAAGAGGACTTCATCCAGAGAGGAAGGGATCTAGCTGACAGGGAAGATGCTGCAGGAGGCTGAGGGAAGTGAGGGTAGAGCGGTAAAACAGATCTGACAATGTGGTGAAGATAAGAAAGTGACCTGACAAAAATGAATGGAGCAGAGTGCGAAATGAAGGGCCCTTTCCATGCTAATCTTCTATAATGCCCTCAACCAGCCTTAGCATAAATGAGTTTCTATTTAGCTTGCCATATTGTGGGGTGGTGGCACTATTTAAGTTGAATTGTGTAACAAATTCACAATAGGGCACTGCAGGCATATACACACACACACACACACTTTTTTTTTTAAAAAAACAGGGTCTCGCTTTGTCACCCAGGCTGGAGTGCAGTGGTGCCATCTTGGCTCACTGTAACCTCCACCTCCTGGTTCAAGTGATCCTCCTGACTCAGGTTCCCTAGTAGCTAGGACTACAGGCGTGTGCCACCACACCTGGCTGACATATATATATATATAACCTGCAGAGAAGGCCAGGCACAGTGCCTCATGCCTGTAATCTCAGCACTCTGGGAGGGTGAGACAGGAGGATCACTTGATACCAGGAGTTCAAGACCAGCCTGGGCAACATTAGTGAGACCCTGTTTCTACAAAAAAAATAAAAAATAAAAATAAAATTGCAAGAAAAAAGATACCTCACATCATATATGCAAATTAACTCAAAATGGATCATAGACTTAAATGTATACAATTTCTGGGAGAAGACATAGGAGAAAATCATTTCGTTGTTGGATTAAACAACAGGTTCTTAAAGATTTCTTAGGTAAAAAACAAAAAATTATAAGCCATTTAAGAAAAAATTGGCAACTTAAAGCTGATCAAAATTAAAAACTTCTGCTCTTCAGAAAACATTTTTATTTTTTACTTTTTTTTTTGAGACAGAGTCCCACTCTGTCGCCCAGGCTGGAGTGCAGTGGTGCAATCTCGGCTCATTGCAACCTCCACCTCGCAGGTTCAAGCACTTCTCGTGCCTCAGCCTCCAGAGTAGCTGGGACTACAGGCGTGGGCCACCACACCCGGCTGATTTGTGTATTTTTAGTAGAGATGGGGTTTCCACACAACTGGAACACTACTCAGCAATATAAAGGAGTGAACAGCTGTCCCTCGGTGTCTGCAGGGGATTGGCTCCAGGACCCCCTGCAGATACCAAAGTCCAGAGATGTTGAAGTCTTTTATATGAAATGACATAATGTTTGTATATAGCCTCAAGTATACTTTAAATACCTAATACAGGGTAAATGGTATGTAAATAATTATACTGTATTTTAACTTTTCTACTGTTTTTATTGTTGTATTGTTGTTTTATATATTTTATTTTTTCCAAATATTCTCCATCCGGTTAGTAGAATCCATGGATGAGCAACCTGCAGATATGAAGGGCCAGCTGTAGTGATGGGTGCAACAACATGGATGGTAGCAGAATCTCAAAAAAACTTATGATGAGTGAGACCAGGCGAGGTGGATCACATCTGTAATCCTACCACTTTGGGAGGCCGAGGCGGGCGGATCACTTGAGGTCAGGAGTTTGAAACCAGCCTGGCCAACATGGTAAAACCTTGTCTCTACTAAAAATACAAAAAGTAGCCGGGCGTGGTGGCATGCGCCTGTAATCCCAGCTACTCGGGAGGTTGAGGCAGGAAAATCACTTGAACCTGGGAGGCGGAGGTTGCAGTGAGTCTAGGTCATGCCGCTGCACTGCAGCCTGGGTGACAGAGTGAGACTCTATGTCTCAAAAAAAAAAAAAAAAAAAAAAAAAAAAAAAATGCTATGTGAAAGAAGCCAAACACAAGAGGTGACATGCTGTATGATTTCATTTCTAAGACATTCTGGAAAAGGCAAAAGGATAGGAACAGAAATCAGATTAGTAACTAACAGGGGCTGATGGTGGGAGGAGGGGACTGACTGCAAAGGGACACGAGGGGCCTTTTTGAGGCATCAGAAATACTTTATATTGGGAATGTGGTGGTGGTTATGTAACTATACATTTGTCAAAACTCATCAAACTGTACCCTTAAAAAGGGTGAATGTTAGTATATGAAAATTACAACTCAATAAACCTGACATAAGAAAATAATAAAACAAACCTAAAGAACCAGCTAAGTGAAAATAAATCTAAGAAGAGAATAACTTACAGTTTTTCCAGTTCAACAGTCATCGTGAGAATGTTCTTAAGTGTTGCAAGTGGAACTTGCGTTTTTCCCATGTCTCTGAAGAAGAAAATCGAAACATTCATGATATGAACCCCAATAAAAAATTCTGTACTTAAAAAGGCATTTCAAGGACATGTGATTACTTCAATTTTAGTTTTTCTACAAAACAAGTCAGCTCAAGAGTTTATTTGCTGTAGAATTCCAGGGAGGTCTTATTAAAGAAATTTAAGTTGATTTGCATCATCAAATTCATGATATTCAAGAGCAGAACTTACACTTTTTTCTTTTTTAACCATTATCTTCTCATTTTCAAATTGCATTCACCATTTTATTTACTCTTTTTTTCATTTTTAGAATGATGAACACCTTTTCCCCTTTGCTTTGTTGGTAAATTAATATTCTTCCATGTGTCTACATGTTCCAAATCTATATGGGTTCTTCAACACTGTTCTCTTCCCTTGCTGGCTTAACAATTATACATCCTCTTTAATTTTTTTCTTTGCCAATAATTATGACATTTTAGCCTAAATGCAAAATACTTAAGCTTTGATAAAAATTTAAAAAGCATAAATCATCTCATGACTCATGAGAGTACTATAGTACTTACAGATATTTTAATGCTGGCAATGTAAAGAGATACGGATCTTCAACAGTTGTCAGAGGATTGCGATTGAGAATTCTGAAAAATGGAATGGAATTAAAATAACCTGAATTTTCAATGTGAAAGAAACTGCATGAAAAGTTTATATTCATTTTTTGCTATAGAACTTGTAGGTAAAAAAGAAAAAAATGTTTTCTGTTTACACCTAATAAATCACCATTAGACTCTGTAAAGCACTATTCCTCAGGGAACTACCCAGGTCTCTAGAAGTAGAGGAGAGAACGAGGGGAAGAACTACAAGGAAAAAAAAAGTGGATAGCAAAGAAAAAATATGCCACGGAACTTTTCAGGTCAAAAAACCTACAAGTGACTATGTTAGTAGGAAGCCCTGACTGTGTAGGAAACAGTATTTCTAGTGTCCTCCATAATTCAAGTTGTTCATCTTTTTTTTTTTTTTTTTTTTGGGATGGAGTCAAGCTCTTGTTGCCCAGGCTGGAGTGCAATGGTTCCATCTCAGCTCGCTGCAACCTCCGCCTCCGAGGTTCAAGCGATTCTCCTGTCCTGCCTCAGCCTTCCGAGTAGCTGGGATTATAGGCGCTGCCACCATGCCCAGCTAATTTCTGTATTTTTAATAGAGACGGGGTTTCACCATATTGGCCAGCCTGGTTTGAACTCCTGACCTCAGGTGATCTACCTGCCTCAGCCTCCCAAACTGTTAGGATTACAGGTGTGAGTCACTGCAGCTGGCTGCTTGTCTTTTATCTTTATAAAGTTTTTAAAATTTATGGTTTAATTTGCACAGTTAAAAAAACATAGGACCAATTCTTTTGCTTTATAGCCAAAGAAAAAGGAATAAATCTAACAGGAGGAATTGGTCAAAACTCTACTCCCACTTTCTTCTTTTATGACATCACAGCCTTTCTTACATTGCATTGTCAGTCTCCCGGACTATGAGCTCCTTGAGGGCAGAGACCACTTTTTTTTTTTTTTTTTGATACGGAGTCTCACTATGTCGCTCAGGCTGGAGTGCAGTGGCGCAATCTCGGCTTACTGCAATCTCCACCTCCCGGCTTCAAGTAATTCTCCTGCCTCAGCCTCCCGAGTAGTTGGGATAACAGGTGCCCACCACCATGCCCTGTCATCCCTGTGCCTGGCATGATGTCTGAAATGTATTAGGCATTTAACAAATGTTTATTGAATAAACAAATGACATTTTGTTTATATGTCAATAAAATGAATACATTGATTTTGATGCAAATTATTATTCCAAAATGCTGGAATTGATTTTCTGTTCAATTCTTTAAAGTGAACAAGAAAAAGAAAAGAAACAGGAAGAAATAGAAAATCTGCCTTTAGGTTAACCAAAGAATCATCACTGTACTTCTGCAGAAATTATACAGATAATAATTATTACGGTGAGTATCTACTGGGTTGCCAGGTATTTGGGATTCAGCATTTCACATGTACTCCTCACGATAACCTTATGTGGTAGACATTATTATTGCCCTATTTTTAAATGAGGAAACTGAGGCACAGAGAGGTTATATAACTTGTCCTAGGTCACCCAGCTATTAAGCAGCAAAGCTGTGATTTGAACTCATGTGTTTAATCTGTATGAGAAAAGGGTTTACTTTAACCTTACTTTTATTCTAATTTTTATTTTCGTTCTTCATTCTGTCTTTTTCCTTCTCTCTTTTTCCTTCCCTCCTCCTTAATTCTTTCTCTCTATTTTCTTTCCTTCCTTTCTCCTCTCCCCTCCCCTCCCCACCCAAACAGGGTCTCGCTGCATTGACCAGGCTGGAGTGCAGTGGCATGATCTTGGCTCACTGCAACCTCCACTTCCCAAGCTCAGGTAATCCTCCTTCCTCAGTCTCCCAAACAGCTGGGACCATAGGCACGCACCACCACGCCTGGCTAATTTTTGTGTTTTTAGTAGAGATGGGAGTTTCACCATGTTGGCCAGGCTGGTCTTGAACTCCTGATCTCAAGTGATCCACCTGCCTTGGCCTCCCAAAGTGCTGGTGTGAGCCACTGGGCCCAGCCTTAATGTTGAGAAGACTAAATACAGAAATGCCTTTCAGCCTTCTTCTACTCCTCTGGGAGGACTTCTATGAGAATTACAATTTCTCATTAGCAGTTCACCGCCACGCTTGCCTGTAGTTCCAGCTGTTCGGGAGGCTGAGGCAGGAGAATTGCCTGAACCCGGGAGGCGGAAGTTGCAGTGAGCCGAGATCAAGCCACTGCACTCCAGCCTGCGTGATAGAGCAAAAAAAAGAGAATTACAGTTTCTCTTTTTATGTCTTTCCCCTAATCATTTCCCATGATTAAATAGTTAATTAGTCTATGGTCAATTAGACTTTTTTTTTAAGGGACACATTCTCAGTCACTGTGTTGCCCAGGCTGGAGAGCAGTGGCTATTCACAGGCACGATCCCACTAGTGATCAGCATGGGAGTTCCGACCTGCTCCATTCCCAAACGGGGCTGGTACACCCCTTTTTAGGCAACCCGGTGGTCTCCTGTTCCCGGGAGGTCACCATACTGATGCTGAACTTAGTGAGGACACTCAATCAGCATAGCATGCTACAGCCCAGAATTCCTGGACTCAAAGGATCCTTCTTCCTTTGCCTCCTGAGATCTGGGAATACAGGCATGTGCCTGGTGAGCCTTTAGAGATTTAAAACCATGCTGTAAGTGACAGGTCAGGGAAGACCTACTAAGTTCATAAACTCTCACCCCTGGCTGATCTTGAGGTTCTGCAAAAGCAAGAAGTGAAAGCTAAGGCATGGCTGTAAACTGTCTGGCTGAGTACTGAAGGTATGCCCCAACATGTACACAGAGCCCCTTGGAAAAAACTACACTTATCAGTTTCAAGAATTTAAGTAAACCTCCATTTAATCATTAGCTGATCGGTAAGCTAACCAAGAAGAGACTTCAGTGGGCACACGTGATATATAACGCAAGACTTTACCGAAGAAGTTCAGAAAAGTCACTAAATAAATAGCAACTACTAACACAAGCAGCAGTAACACCAAATCCTGGGAGCATGGATCTGATTTTCAGAATTGCTACATTATATTATTTAAAATACTCAATTTTCCACAAAAATTTATGAAAGATGCAAGAAAACAAAGTATGGTCCATACACATGGTGGGGGCGAGAAATAAGCAGAAATTGTCCCTGAGAAAGACCAGATGTTAGACTTACTAGACAGAAAAAAATTTTTTTTTCTAGAGGTGGGGACTTGCTCAGTTGCCCAGGCTGGTCTTGCACTCCTGGCCTCAACCTCAGCCTCCCAAAGTGCCGGGATTATAGGCACAAGCCACCATGCCTGGCCTAGAGAAAGATTTAATTCAGCTATTTAAAATATGTTCAAAGAGATAAGAGAAACCATTCAGTTCTGTAGACTAGAGAACTAAAGCAAAGTATGAAAGCAATGTCTCATCAAATAGAGAATATCAATGAAGAGACAGAAACCATAAAAAGAAGCCGAATAGAAATTCTAGAGTTGGAAAGTATGGTAACTGAGATGGAAAACTACCAGAGGTTCTCAATGGCACGTTACAGCAGGCACAAGAAAGAATTGGGAACCTGAAGGTCAATTTAGATTATTTACTCTGAGGAACAGAAACAAAAATGAAAGAAAGTGAATGGAATCTCAGAGACCTGTTTGTGGAACACAGCATCAAGCTAACTAACATATACATAATGAGAGTCTCAAAAGGAGAAGAAAAACAGAAAAAAGGAGAAAGAACATTTGAAGAAACAATGGCCCCAAACTTCCCAAATGGTATGAAAGACAATCTGCGTATTCAAGAAGCTCAAGAAAGTACAAGTAGGAAAAACTCAGGGATCCACATCTAAACATACTATAATCAAACTGACAGAAGCCAAAGACAGAATATCTTGAAAGCAGCAAGAGAAAAGCAACTCATCACATACAAGGGATCCTCAGTAAGATTAATAGCTGATTTCTCTTCAAAAACAATGGAGGTGCTGGGCATGGTTGCTCACACCTGTAATCCCAGTACTTTGGGAGGTTTGAGGTTCAAGAATTGCTTGAAGTCAGGAGTTGGATACCAGCACAGGCAATATAGTAAAACCTTGTCTCTACAAAAAATTTTTAAAAAGCTGGCCGTGGTGGCGCATGCCTGTAGTCCCAGCTACCCAGGAGGCTGAGGTGACAGGATTGCTTGAGCCTGGGAGGTGGAAGCTGGGAGGTGGAAGCGGTGAGTGGCTGCACCACTGCACTCCAGCCTGGGTAACAGAGGAAGACCCTGTCTGACAACAAAACAAAACAACCACACACAACAGTGGAGGACAAAAGGCAATGAAATGGCATATTCGAAGTGCTGAAGAAACTGTCAACCAATAATTCTATAGCTGGCAAAACTACCTTTGAAATGGAAGAGAAATTAAGATACTCTAGATAAATAAAAAGTGAGAGACTTTGTTGCCAAAAGACCTGCCCTATAAGAAGTACTAACGTGAAAAAGAAATAAAAAGCACTGGCCGGGCACAGTGGCTCAGCCTGTAATCCCAGCACTTTGGGAGGCTGAGGCTGGAGGATCACTTGAGGTCAAGAGTTTGAGACCAGCCTGGGAAACATGGTGAAATCCTGTCTCTACTGAAAAAACAAAAATTAGCCAGGCATGGTGGTGTGTGCCTGCAGTCCCAGCTACTCAGGAGGCTGAGGCACTAGAATCGCTTGAACCTGGGAGGCAGAGGTTGCAGCGGGTCAAGACTGTGCCACTGCACTCCAGCCTGGGCAACAGAGCGAGACTCTGTCCCAAAATAAAGAAAAACACTAAGAAAAAGACACTTACACAATGCAATAATTATAAATCTAGTTGATGAATATAAAGAATATAAAGATGTAATGTGTGACAATAACAGGATAAAGGAGGGGGTGAGAGTGGAGCCTTAGAGAAGCAAAGTTTTTATATACTATTGAAACAAAGTTGGTATTAATCTGAACTACAATGTTATAAAATTAAGATGTAGCTGAGACCACAGGTGCGCACCACCACTCGGCTAATTGTAAAAAAAGTTTTAGAGATAGGGTCTCACTATGTTGCC